ACTTAGAAAAAATATGAAACAGCGAAACTAGTAATTAGAAACTATAACGGTCTATTTGAAGCTCTAGATGTCATCAACTAATTGTAACTCCTTGACTAACCAACGTAGTTGTATAATTGTTGAAGTTTGCTTTTAGTTACTGCAGTAGTTTTTAACAAAATAAGTTAATTAGTTTAAAATGAATTTGAATTTTGAATTTTAGTTAGGTTGTTTGAATTGTTGAGATATTTTAGGTTGTTTTAAATTTCAAATTATGCAGATTATATTTTTATGTTGGCTATTTAAAGCCCCTCAATGCTTAATAAAATTATTGAAAGCTATTGACAGTCATTTCAATCCATTGAGAGAAATTTTCAATCTTTTTGTGTTGCCCCATTTTTAAAAAACACCAACAGTGGTATCAAGAGATTCATTGATCTTAAGGGATCTGTGAAATCTTCCAAAGAACTATCATACATTTTTAACCCGTAAGGGCTACCTTTTTAATCCATCAGGGCTACCCATTTTAACCCATCAAGGCTATCTTTTCAAACAGTGCTTTTTTCAACGCACAAGATTTTCTAAATCATTTTTTAACCAAAATAATGGCAAGCAACAATCTCTCTTTGAATGCCCCAAAATTTTCACTGGTGAAAACTATCAGATTTGGTCAGTGAAAATGAAATCATATCTTGAAGCCTATGATCTGTGGGAAGTTGTAATGGAAGATGTACCCTTACAACCTCTCCCTGCAAATCCTACCCTTACTCAAATTAAATCTCAATCGGATGAAAAAATCAAAAAAATTTAAAGCTAAACCTGTACTTCAAAATTCAATTGCGGATTTGATTTTTTCTAAAATCATTGCTTGGGAGACGGCAAAAGAAGCTTGGGAAAAATTAAAAAAAGAATTTCAAGGAAGTGACCGGGTCAGGCAAATGCAAATTTTAAATTTGAAAAGAGATTTTGAATCTCCTAAGATGCAAGAGGATGAAATTATTGTTAAGTATTCTGACAAGATTTCTTTTATTGTTAATAAAACCAGGTTACTTGGCGAGGATTTCAAAGACGGCAAAATAGTAAAAAAAATTCTTGTGACAATTTCAGAGAGATTCAAATCTAAAATTTCATCTCTAGAAGAGTCTGAAGATCTCTCTACTATTTCTGTTTAAGAACTAATAAGTTCTCTTCAGGCACAAGAGCAGAGAAGAACCTTCAGCCAAGATAATGTTACTGAGGGTGCCTTTTATGCACAAAATAGAAAAGAAAAAGGTAATTATCCTCTTTGCAAATACTGCAAAAGAAAAGCACACTTGGAAAATTTTTGTTGGTGGAGACAAGATGCAATATGTGGAAATTGCAAACAAACCGGTCATATTACAAAAAGTATGCAAGCTGAAGAACAATCTTCAAGCACAAGTTGTAGAAGTAGAAATCGAGGAGGAGCAACTTTTTTAAATTGCAGTATTTAAAGCAAAGGAGGAGTGTTGAAGTTTGCTTTTAGTTACTGCAGTAGTTTTTAGCAAAATAAGTTAATTAGTTTAAGATGATTTGAATTTTGAATTTTAGTTAGTTTGTATGAATTGTTGAGATATTTTAGGTTGTTTTAAATTTCAAATTATGCAGATTATATTTTTATGTTGGCTATTTAGATCCCCTCAATGCTTAATAAAATTATTGAAAGCTATTGAAAGTCATTTCAATCCATCGAGAGAAATTTTCAATCTTTTTGTGCTGCCCCATTTTTAAAAAACACCAACAGTGGTATTAAGAGCTTCATTGATCTTAAGGGATCTGTGAAATCTTCCAAATAACTACCATACATTTTTAACCCGTAAGGGCTGCCTTTTTAACCCATTAGGGCTACCCATTTTAACCCATCAAGGCTATGTTTTCAACCGGTGCTTTTTTCAACGCACAGGCTTTTCTAAATCATTTTAAACCAAAATAATGGCAAGCAGCAGTCTCTCTTTGAATGCCCCAAAAATTTTCACTGGTGAAAACTATTAGATTTGGTCAGTGAAAGTGAAATCATATGTTGAAGCCTATGATCTATGGGAAGTTGTAATGGAAGATGTACCCTTACAACATCTCCCTGCAAATCCTACCCTTACTCAAATTAAATCTCATTCGGATGAAAAACCCAAAAAATTCAAAGCTAAAACTGTAATTCAAAATTCATTTGCAGATTCGATTTTTTCGTAAAATCATTGCTTGTGAGACGGCAAAAGAAGCTTGGAAAAATGAAAAAAAGAATATCAAGGAAGTAACCAAGTCAGGAAAATACAAATTTTAAATTTGAAAAGAGATTTTGAATCTCTTAAGATGCAAGAGGATGAAACTATTGTTAAGTATTCTGACAAATTCCTTTTATTGTTAATAAAACCAGGTTTCTTGGCGAGGATTTCAAAGATGGCAGAATAGTAGAAAAAATTCTTGTGACAATTTCAGAGAGATTAGAATTTAAGATTTCATCTCTTGAAGAGTGTAAAGATCTCTCTACTATTTCTGTTGAAGAACTAATAAGTGCTCTTCAAGCACAAGAGCAGAGAAGAGCCTTCAAGAAAGATAATGTTACTGAAGGTGCCTTTTATGCACAAAACATAAAAGAAAAAGGTAACTATCCTCTTTGCGAATACTGCAAAAAAAAAAAAAACACTTGGAAAATTTTTGTTGGTGGAGACCTGATGCAATATGTGGAAATTGCAAACAAGCCTGTCATGTTACAAAAGTATGCAAGCTAAAGAACAATCTTCAAGCACAAGTTGTAGAAGCAAAAATAGAGGAGGAGCAACTATTTTAAATAGCAGTATCTAAATCAAAGGAGCACTGTTGAAGTTTGCTTTTAGTTACTGCAGTAGTTTTTAGCAAAATAAGTTAATTAGTTTAAGATGAATTTGAATTTTGAATTTTAGTTAGGTTGTTTGAATTTTCGAGATATTTTAGGTTGTTTTAAATTTCAAATTATGCAGATTATATTTTTATGTTGGCTATTTAAATCCGCTCAATGCTTAATAAAATTATTGAAAGCTATTTACAGTCATTTCCATCCATTAAGAGAAATTTTCAATCTTTTTGTGCTACCCCATTTTTAAAAAACACCAATAGTGGTATCAAGAGCTTCATTGATATTAAGGGATCTGTGAAATCTTCCAAAGAACTACCATACATTTTTAACACGTAAGGGCTACCTTTTTAACCCATCAGGGCTACCCATTTTAACCCATCAAGGCTATCTTTTCAACCGGTGCTTTTTTCAACGCACAGGCTTTTCTAAATCATTTTAAAACCAAAATAATGGCAAGCAGTAGTCTATCTTTGAATGCCCCAAAATTTTTCACTGGTGAAAACTATCAGATTTGGTTAGTGAAAATGAAATCATATCTTGAAGCCTATGATCTCTGGGAAGTTATAATGGAAGATGTACGCTTACAACCTCTTCCTGAAAATCCTACCCTTACTCAAATTAAATCTCATTTGGATGAAGAAATCAAAAAATTTCAAAGCTAAAACTGTAATTCAAAATTCAATTGCGGATTCAATTTTTTGTAAAATCATGGCTTGTGAGACGACAAAAGAAGCTTGGGAAAAATTTTAAAAAAAGAATATCAAGGAAGTGACCGAGTCAGGAAAATGCAAATTTTAAATTTGAAAAAAGATTTTGAATCTATTAAGATGCAAGAGGATGAAACTATTGTTAAGTATTCTGACAAGATCTCATTTATTGTTAATAGAACCAGGTTGCTTGGCGAGGATTTCAAAGACGGCAAAATAGTAGAAAAAATTCTTGTGACAATTTCAGAGAGATTCAAATCTAAAATTTCATCTTTGGAAGAGTCTGAAGATCTCTCTACTATATCTGTTTAAGAACTAATAAGTGCTCTTCAAGCACAAGAGCAGAGAAGAGCCTTCAGTCAAGATAATGTTACTGAGGGTGCCTTTTATGCATAAAATAGAAAAGAAAAAGGTAATTATCTTCTTTGCAAATACTGCAAAAGAAAAGAACACTTGGAAATTTTTTGTTGGTGGAGACCTAATGCAATATGTGGAAATTGCAAACAAGCTGGTCATGTTACAAAAGTATGCAAGCTGAAGAACAATTTTCAAGCACAAGTTGTAGAAGCAGAAATCGAGGAGGAGCAACTTTTTTAAATTGCAGTATCTAAAGCAAAGGAGGAGTGTTGAAGTTTGCTTTTAGTTACTGCAGTAGTTTTTAGCAAAATAAGTTAATTAGTTTAAGATGAATTTGAATTTTGAATTTTAGTTAGGTTGTTTGAATTGTTGAGATATTTTAGGTTGTTTTAAATTTCAAATTATGCAGATTATATTTTTATGTTGGCTATTTAGATCCCCTCAATGCTTAATAAAATTATTGAAAGCTATTGAATGTCATTTCAATCCATCGAGAGAAATTTTCAATCTTTTTGTGCTGCCCCATTTCTAAAAAACACCAATAGTGGTATTAAGAGCTTTATTGATCTTAAGGGATCTGATAAATATTCCAAAGAACTACCATACATTTTTAACCCTTAAGGGCAACCTTTTTAACCCAATAGGGCTACCCATTTTAACCAATCAAGGCTATGTTTTCAACCGGTGCTTTTTTCAACGCACAGGCTTTTCTAAATCATTTTTTAACCAAAATAATGGCAAGCAACAGTCTCTCTTTGAATGCCCCAAAAATTTTCACTAGTGAAAACTATCAGATTTGGTCAGTGAAAATGAAATCATATCTTGAAGCCTATGATCTTTGGGAAGTTGTAATGGAAGATGTACCCTTACAACCTCTCCCTGCAAATCCTACCCTTGCTCAAATTAAATCTCATTCGGATGAATAAAACTAAAAATTCAAAGCCAAAACTGTAATTCAAAATTCATTTGCGGATTCAATTTTTTCTAAAATCATTGCTTGTGAGACGGCAAAAGAAGCTTGGAAAAAATTTAAAAAAGAATATCAAGGAAGTGACAGAGTCAGGCAAATGCAAATTTTAAATTTGAAAAGAGATTTTGAATCTCTTAAGATGCGAGAGGATGAAACTATTGTTAAGTATTCTGACAAGATTCCTTTTATTGTTAATAAAACCAGGTTGCTTGGCGAGGATTTCAAAGATGGCAGAATAGTAGAAAAAATTCTTCTGACAATTTCAGAGAGATTCGAATCTAAAATCTCATCTCTTGAAGAGTGTAAAGATCTCTCTATTATTTCTGTTGAAGAACTAATAAGTGCTCTTCAAGCACAAGAGCAGAGAAGAGCCTTCAGGCAAGATAATGTTACTGAGGGTGCCTTTAATGCGCAAAACAGAAAAGAAAAAGGTAAATCTCCTCTTTGCAAATACTGCAAAAGAAAAACACACTTGTAATTTTTTTGTTGTTGGAGACCTAATGCAACATGTGGAAATTGCAAACAAGCCGGTCATGTTACAAAAGTATGCAAGCTGAAGAACAATTTTCAAGCATAAGTTGTAGAAGTAAAAATCGAGGAGGAGCAACTTTTTTAAATTGCAGTATCTAAAGCAAAGGAGGAGTGTTGAAGTTTGCTTTTAGTTACTGCAGTAGTTTTTAGCAAAATAAGTTAATTAGTTTAAGATGAATTTGAATTTTGAATTTTAGTTTGGTTGTTTGAATTGTCAAAGTATTTTAGGTTGTTTTAAATTTCAAATTATGCAGATTATATTTTTATGTTGGCTATTTAAATCCACTCAATGCTTAATAAAATTATTGAAAGCTATTGAAAGTCATTTCAATCCATTGAGAGAAATTTTAAATCTTTTTGTGTTGCCCCATTTTTAAAAAAACACCAACAATAACCCTCATAGCCATCTGTACAACTTCTTAAGAAGCCAAAACTTTGATTAAATTACAAATCGTATCAGTACACCCCACTAAAAGTTTTCCTTATCCTTAAGTAAGTAATGTTGAAACTCGAATCTTGACGCATAGCAACTTTCCTAGTAGCTTGCTCTTCTATTAGTTGTTTAGATTGAGTAAAGAACTGTTCAGATGCTTGTTACCCTTTTGAATTATTCTTCTATGCAACACTAGATACAAAATTTATCAAGAACAATGTAGAAAAACTTCAAGAGTTATATGTAGAAGGTATGATGCAACATTATTCTAGGCTCTCACTTGTTTTCCCTTCTGATTCAAATTGTTCACCTTGTTGTATAGCCACCTAAATTTATTGTTAATAAAAATGTTAACATGAAAACATATTGCTCATGTTTACTGTATTCCTGCTAATCCTTCCCCATAAAGACAGATTTCTCCAAGATCAACAAGTAAACACCTAGAAGCTAATTTCTGCTAGTATTCTATCATTGATGGAATGGTTTTTTTCGTAGTTATTTTATTTTAAAAAATCTTGTATGTGCTTCTTCTATAATATTTATCTGATAAGTGATGTGTTTGTGCAGTTGATTGGATAGAGGCTGGATGCATGAAGCAATGTTCTCTAAAATATATGTTGAGGGTGTCCAATCTTTTATGCAACTTGTTCGGTCTCACTTTGATCGAAATTCTAAAGTTCGATGCTCGTGTCAAGATTATTTAAATGTATTTTTTCAGACACAAGAAGTAGTGTATGACCATCTATTGATAAAGGAATTATGGGAAGCTACGTGCAATGGATATACCATGGGGAACAATAACAAATGAGTTATAACGATGAAGTGATTTACAATGAAGATGAAAATGAAGAGCATGACAATGATGACGAAATTCACACTATATTAGAAGAGGTTAGTGGAAAATCATTTGTCAATTTTTCGGAGGAGACAACAACTGATAATAATGTGTGCGGTAATATGAGTGAGAAGGAAGCCAAAAGGTTTGACAAATTGGTGGAAGAAGCTAAATGTGAACTATACCCGGAATGTAAGAAATTCTCAAAGCTTTCGTTTCTTGTGAAGTTGCTACACTTGAAAGTGTACAATCAATGGAGTAATAAACCGTTTGATATGTTACTGGAGTTACTAAAAGAGGTGTAGGTGTTGCCTACCGGTGAGAGACTTCCTAAGTCATATTATGATGCTAAAAACATGTTACAAGGTTTGGGATTAGGATACATTTCTATTAATGTTTGCAAAAATGATTGTGTGTTGTACTGGGCTGAATATAAAGATAGACAAGAGTGCCCACATTGTGGTATTTCGAGGTGGAAAATTGATAATGGAAAAGATAAGAAGATTCCTCATAAAGTCTTGCGGTATTTTCCATTAAAGCCTAGACTTCAATGATTATTTATGTCTAGTAAAATAAGTGTGGACATGAGGTGGCACAAAGAAAACCATCTTGATGAGGAAAATGTGTTAAGACATCCCGCTGATTCTGAAGCATGAAAAGAGTTTGACAAAAATCATCTGTGGTTTGCACAAGAACCTCGTAATATATGACTCGATTTTGCAACTAATGGTTTTAACCCATTCGGTAACATGAGCACATCGTATAGTATGTGGCCTGTTATTCTCACTCCTTATAATCTTCCTCCTTGGAAATGCTTTAAGGACCCATTTATGATGATGTCACTGCTTATTCTCGGTCCTCAAGCACCAGGAAAGGATATTGATGTTTATTTGCGTCCTTTGATTGATGAGCTGAAAGAGTTATGGAGTGATGGTGTAGAGACATTTGATGCACCAACTGGGAAGTGCTTCAAGATGCATGTTGCTGTTTTATGGACTATAAATGACTTTCCAGCTTATGGTAAGTTCTTAAATTACAGTTTTTTTGTTGTTGAAAGGGGGTTTATTTATTTATATATAATAATATGTATCCATACAAGACCGGTGGCGTGAAACATTACAGTCAAGCCGAGTACTTGCTAAGTTACCAATATAATTCAAACTATCCGATATTAAAAGAGGAATTTCCTGCTTAGCAAAAGTTTCTCCCTCATTGTCAGCAACAACAAAACTAATATGTAAGAATAATAATAATAGTAAAATAGTAATGGTAAATATATTGCATAATCTCGGTATTGAACCATTCATGGCAGTAGAGAATCTTATTTTTTGAAGGTTCTATGTTATAGTTTAGGTTTTAAACTACTACTAACATATATTATCTTTTATATGAATTAGGTAACTTATCTGGATGGAGCACTAAGGGATATATGGCATGTCCTACTTGCAATAAGGATACATCTTCAGAAGATGATGTCTTAAAACAATTGGATTTACTCAGTACTTATAGAGCAGGAAAACGCTCAAATAATAAGAAAAAGAAACGTCTTCCTGAAGAGTTGAATTGGGTTAGGAGAAGTATTTTATTTGAGTTACCATACTAGAAGGGCTTGAAATTGCGGCATAATTTAGATGTTATGCACATAGAAAAAAATATTTGTGAGAGTATTTTGGGGACACTATTGGATATTGATGGGAAACCTAAGGACACATATAAAGCAAGACTAGATCTTAAGGATATGAACATAAGAAAAGAACTATGGTTACAACATGATGGTTCTAGTTATAAATGCCAGTTGCTTGTTATAGTATGTCAAAAAAAAGAGAAAAACATTTGGGCATTTTTAAAATCGGTTAAGTTTCCTGATGGTTATGCTGCAAATATCTCAGGGTGTGTAAGTGTAGATGATGATAAGATCACTAAACTCAAAAGGCATGACTATCATGTTTTGTTACAACGAGTGTTGTCAATTGCTCTTCGTGGATTTGTAAATAAGGATGTCTCTTTAGCATTAATTGAGTTAGGCCATTTCTTTCAACGATTATGTTGTAAGACATTAAGAAGAGATGACTTAGAACAACTTGAAAGGGATATAATTATTATATTATGTAAGCTTGAGATGATCTTTCCACCTGCTTTTTTTGATGTTATGATACATTTGGCTGTGCATTTGCCACGAGAGGCCATGTATGTGGGACCAATACAATATCGTTGGATGTACAAAATTGAGAGGTTTTTGTGCAAGCTTAAGCGTTATGTATGAAACAAGACACGACCAGAATGTTCTATTGCACAAGGGTATATTATTGATGAGTGTTTTACATTTTGCTCAATGTATCTTACTGACATTGAGACAAGATTTAATCGTGAAGATCGAAATGATGATGGATTTAGCAACAATGGTGAACTTGTTCTAGACATATTTTCAAAGAGATTTAGGCCATATAAAGATTGAAAATATGATGTCATACCAAACAAAGATTTAGATATAGCTTGGTGGTATGTGTTGAATAATTGCGAAGAAGCAAAACCTTTTCTTGAGTAAGTAATTTTCTATTTTATTTATTTATGTTGACATTTTATTATTTTAATTATTTCTATATAATTTTTTATTATATGTAGGAAGAATAAAGAAGAGTTGTTGAACCAAGCTGTTGTGAATATAGATGAGAAGCACAAAGAATAATTTCCTTTATGGTTCAAATGTAAAGTAAGTGATTTTTAGATAATAATCATGTTGTTGTGTTTAAATTTTTTTCTTCTTTACTAATTGAACACAATAAGTTTTTCTCATAGATTATGCAGTTATATACTAAGGAAAAGTCAATACCTATCAAGAAATTATATCCTTTGGCAATGGGACCTGATGTGCGTGGAAGAACACATACTGGTTGTATCGTAAATGGTGTTAGGTATCATATTCAACGACACGATGAATTACGTAAAAGTCAAAATTGTGGTATAGTTGTTGACTTTTATGGTATTATAATTGACATCCTTAAGTTAGAGTATGTTGAGAAAAATCGAATTCTCTTATTCAAATGCAAGTGGTTTGATCTTCTCAAGAAAACAGGGATGCAAAAAGATAAAAAATTTACGAGCATTTGTGTTAAAAGATTTTGGTATGAACGTGATTCTTTTGTACTAGCTACTCAAGCAAAGAAAGTATTTTACATTGATGACCCAAAATTGGGAGAGAATTGGCAAATTGTGCTCAAATTTCAAGATAGACACTTGTATGATGTGCCTGAGAAAGATACTTTGGAGACTGAAAGTGATGAGTTACATATTACAAATGACGAAGTGTATCAAGACATGTCATTGGAAAAGTAATTCAATTCTCTGTGATACAGTGGATATGTTGAGTCAACTATATAGAGATGATGTTGATTCAGTTATCTTGGATGCAAATGTAATTGAATTAGAGGCTCAAAAAGAACATGAAGTTCATTATAACAAAGAAAATTCTGACCAAGAGGATGAAACTATGATAGAGTACATTAGTGATCATGGGGAGAATGGAGGTAATAATGGTACTAATGACAATAAAGCTGATACAGCAAGTGATGGTGATGATATTGGCTTGTGATGTAACCTCATAATTGTAAGGCAATTACATGTTAATAGCTCTTCTGCACTATGTATATCATGTTTGAAAACTGTCAAAGTAGTGGTCTCATCACTACAATGAAAATCGCTTTTAGTGAAAATTATTTGTCAATACTTGAAGGTAATAGCCGGTAAAGGTCAAGTAGCTTATCAAGTACTTAAAATTTATTATTTTTTATCTTTACTTCATAATTTATTTCTTTCCCTACTTTTCTTTTATGCATTCAAAGGATAATTCTTTTTTTCCTCAAATCAGGTTTTTACTTTAGAGACGCCCCCCCCCCCCCTACATCACTAACCGCTTCTGTTTTTTATATTTTCATGTAGGGATCCATATCTTCAGACTAAATGTATATGAAGGGGATGAAATTGCAGGTTTGCCTCTCTTTTTGTTGCTACTTATCTCTAATATAGTGAATCAACTAACATTTCTAGTGTTATTACCTTGTTTAAAATGGTTTTACTGTGTTTAGCTTTTAGTTTCGGGGCTTCCTCATGGATGAACATGTTTTCTTTTCTGCATAATTATCAACTTCTTTTGACAAATTGCATATGTTATTATATGCTTTATGTTGAAATCTTTATATCGACTCTTGGATTTCAATTACTCATTTGGAGTTTTATCTATTTTTTTTTGTTGATATCATTATATTACTAATATCTTAGTTATAGTGTTTTTTTACCTAAACTTGTTGTGAAGTGATTCAATATAATTGAGATTATTTTTGAAATTTCATGTGGTTTGAAAATATTAACTAAGCTATGTCAATTATGGCAATCCTGGAGTTTATTAAAAAATTATTTCTCAGTGATATTTTTTTGTAGAAATTCTGTAACACCTCAAAAACCAAACCCAGGAAATTTTTTGCAGAACTTACCTAAAGCGGTGAACCACGGCAGGGTTCATGGATCGTGATAGGGTCCACGGTCCGTAGACCTACCCGTGGTCTAGACTTGGACTTCGCTAGGCCTAGGCATCAGACCACGGGACCCTTCAGGGCCGTGGTCACGACGACGGGCTGTGGTGGCATCCATAGTGTTAGACCAATAGGCCCCCCAGCTTGGCCCTAGAACGCCCTAGGTCTATGTGAAGACCACAAGCACTTTCACGGTCCATGGTCTTTCACACGGTCAGTGGGAGTTTTCGTGGAGTTTAACCAGTAGACTCCCAACATGAAGCCTCCAAACCTAAGCCCAAGTGAGGACCATGGGGATCTTCACGGTCTGTGGTCCTGCACACAGGCCGTGGTAGTGGCCGTA